GGGGCAGGGCTCGGGCTGCCAGCCCAAACTGCCCAGCCCCGCTCTCCCTGGGGCTCGGGCTGTCTGCCCTGCAACCGGGTCCCACCTGCTGCCTCCAATGCCTGGGGTTCTCTGGCTGCCATTAGAGAAATTTTTCTGGCAAACCCCCTGTAACGTTCTGCGAACCCCCAGGAGTTTGCGAACCCCAGTTTGGGAACCACTGACAAATGTACAGAACATAAGTTTTGAGTACAATGCTGTTGAGATTCCTCTGCAGGATAGCACTGCCTTACACAAATCAATAAGGTTTACAACCAGTCTTAAAAAAAAACAACAACTAGACAATCTAGAATTGGAAGAGTTACTTAAGGGTGTCAAAGGCCTGGATATTATTTGTGGAGATTTTAATAGCCATAATGAATTGTGCGGAAGCAGGAAAACTGATTATAGCGACAAATGCCTGGAACAGTTCATTGAACTGCACAACCTGGTATTGCTCAATACTGGAGCACCTACTAGGTTTAATTCTGTGGATAGAACCTTTTTATGTTTAGATCTGAGAATAGCAAAACGCAATATAGAATGTAAATGCAGCTGGGAAATCTATAGCGAGGCCAAGGTAATGTTGAAAACACTTAAGAAATTCCTAACTAGAGCCTTAGAAAGGCAAACTGGGGACTTTAACAGTAAGTATGCTGAATATCTAATATCCAATTGTATCAGTGATAATCTAGAGGAATTTCATGATAATACAATAAAGGGAGTTGTAACAGCAGCCCACCTAGCTATATGTAAAACACCAAACTGCCAGAAACTCAGAAATCAAGTTCCCTAGTAGAATGAAGATTGTCTAGCAGCAATTAAAGAAGTATATACAAACAAGCAAATATATAAACAAGCAAACAATACAATGAATAGCAAGGACTTAATGAACTATAAAAGATATAAAGCAATGGCGCAAAGAATGATTAAAAATGCGAAGAGAGTTGGCGAGAGTATTGTGAGAAAATGAACAAAGATTCCAAGGTTTCAGAGACATAAACAAGTTAAAAAACAAATCAGAGGGGTAGCCGTGTTAGTCTGTATCCACAAAAACAACGAGGAGTCCGGTGGCACCTGAAAGACTAACAGATTTATTTGGGCATAAGCTTTTGTGGGTAAAAAAACCACTTCTGCAGATGCATGGAGTGAAAGTTACAGATACAGGCATAAATATACTGGCACACAAAGATACGGGAGTTACCTTACAAGTGGAGAATCAGTGATGACAAGGCCAATTCAGTCAGGGTGGATGTTGTCCACTCCCAATAACTGATGAGGAGGTGTCAATACCAAGAGAGGGGAAATTGCTTTTGTAGTGAGCCAACCACTCTTAGTCCCTATTCAAGCCAAAAAGGAATGGTGTTAAGTTTGCAAATGAATTGTAAACTCTGCAGTTTCTCTTCAAAGTCTGTTTTTGAAGTTTTTTTTTTGTTGAAGGATGGCTACTTTTAAATCTGTTATTGAATGTCCAGGAAGATTGAAGTGTTCTCCTACTGGCTTTTGTATGTTACCATTCCGGATGTCTGATTTGTGTCCATTTATTCTTATTATGTCTTTTAAATAGGGACTGGGAGGGGCTGGCTCACTACAAAACCAATTGTCCCTCTCTTGGTATTAACATCTCCTCATCAGTTATTGGGAGTGGACAACATGCACCCTAACTAAATTGGCCCTGTCATCGCTGATTCTCCACTTGTAAGGTAACTCCCTTCTCTTTATGTGCCAGTATATTTATGCTTGTATCTGTAATTTTCACTCCATGCATCTGAAGAAGTGGTTTTTGACCCATGAAAGCTTATGCCAAAATAAATTGGTTAGTCTTTAAGTTAAAGGACTGAATGGGATATGGAGTAAAAACAAATTTATACATGGTCTTATAGTAAATGATAATGTTGACATTTCTAACTTAGGAAAAATGAATATTTTAGTAAAAGAGTTCCAAAAAAAGTTAGTGGTGATACAAAGCAAAGAAAGGAGTTTGATGAACAAAAAATGTTTGCTGAAGAAAATTGTGAGCAATCACATGACAGGGTAGAATATAAAGATGATGTACTGAATGAAAATTTCAGCGTACAAGAACTCAAAAATGCTAAAGGCAAAAGTAAAAATGCAGTATCCCAAGTAAGAATAGCATATGTAATGCAATGCTAAGCACCTACCGGAAAAGAGTTTATTTTATTGAAATTATGGTATATATGAGGAAAAGGAATACTAGCAGCAGAATGGAATCAAGCGGTGGTTATACTGATAGGAAAACCTGGCAAACTATACAAAGACATGATGCATATAGATCTCTCACATCCGGTGTGGGCAACATTATGAAAAGACTGATAAATGAGAGATTAGTAGCATACTTGGAAAAAATGAAATTATAAACTGTGTACAAAGTGGTTTCAGGAATGGAAGATGCATAGTTGATCATATTGTAAGATTAGAAACAAATACAAAACAGATTTTGATAGCTGTCTTTTTGGACACTGAAAAACATATGACATGCTATGGAAGGAAGCTTGATGTAGAAAGTAGCCACAGTTGGAGTAAGAGGAAGAATGTTTTGGTGGATAAGAGACTGCTTAAGTGGTAGAACCATACAAGTCAGGTGGGGGCAGGTTTGTCAAATATTTATAAATTTACTAATTGCATTTCACAGGGGAGTGTTATCAGGCCAACCCTGTTTAACATTATTATTAATGATCTCCCAGAGAGTATACAGGCAGGAATAGGTATTAGTCTATTTGCAGATCACTGTGATATATGGGCCAAATATAGAAGACTTAAGATAGATGTGGAGAGAACCAATGAGGCACTCGGGAATTTCAGAATGGGGAGATACTTGGGGATTTAGGTTCTCACTTGCCCAAACAACGGGAATGATCTTCACCAAAACGTAAGACTGGGGAAGAACAGAATCAATCTCTCTCTCTCCCCCTCTCCCTCTCCCTCTCCCTCTCCCTCTCCCTCTCCCTCTCCCCCTCTCCCTCTCTCCCTCTCCCTCTCCCCAAAATGTTAACATTCTTAAGAGTTATGTTCAATAAACTAACCTGGAAGGGTTATAGATAAAAATCAAAATTAACTGTAAAGATAGGATGAATGTGCTTAAAAGTATTGCTGGGAACAACTAGGGGTGCAGATAAGAACAAACTGTTGATGCTGTAAAGGACATTAATAACACCAGTTATAGATTATGGATACCAAGACTTTAATTCAACTTCTACAATCAACACTAAAAAGAAAAAAAATTCAGAGCTGATCCAAGCCCAAGCTCTGTGAATCACATGTTGTGCGAGTATTACGACTCTGGACTCTCATGTGTGCTGCAGGTAGCAACCTGAGAAATGCCTATAAATTTAAGGTAGAAATTGTTAGATTTAATCTTTTGAGCTAAGGTTAATGGAAATAGCAAAGATAAGAGTACTAAACAAATATATGAGGACAGTTGGGAATTAAGTAGACACAAACTCCCACCTGCAAACAGGGTCAAAAGGTGGGTTAAAAGGAAGGTCTGGAAGAAATTAAAATCCTTAGTCATGGGAAATCAAACTATAGCAGGATGGTTTTCTCCCCAGTTGTGGATTTGAAATTATATGATACAACAAAGGTAAGAGCACCATCAAATAAGACGGCTATAATTTACAAGTTTATACATGGCAAATGGGGTCATCATTGCCAAACCTATACTGACTGCTCTAGAGATGAGAATACAGTTTGGGAAGGGCCTTTTGTATCCCTGAATCTGAAATTAAGAGACCTATGAGACTATCCAATTTTGTGGCCATTATGACAGGTATATCAAGTATAATGGTGATTAGAAAGGAAGCCTCGGAAAGCAGGACTGGTTCAATCAATTATTCTTAACTAAAGAGAGTACAATTGGGTATACCTATCATAATAGTGTGGATTGCAGTGCTTGCTGGGATACTGGGCAACAAAATGGCAGATAAAGCAGTGAAAAATGCCTTAAAATGAGGAGATTGACATAAAGAGCCCTCTGAGTATACAGGACTTCAAAAGTTTGGTTAAGAGAGAACTTAAGAGGGAATGTCAAGAATTATGGACCAAAGAGGAAAAAAAGGACAAAGGTCCTATGAAATATGTCCTAAACTTGAGGAAAATGGTATACTTAATAGCTATGATAGAAGAAGTGAAGTAACTATACATTTAGAGGGCTAACAGGTCACTGTGATCTGAATGGTAATTTATATTTACTAAACAAGCACAAAAATGGGTTATGGACACCTGCAAAGTTCAAGAAACAGTTAATCATCTGCTGTGGCAATGCAGGGGCTGTTACATAGAAAGAAAAATTCTTTATGAAGAACTGAGACGCACCCAAGGTGAACGAATATAGTCTGAGTACTGGGAAAGTGGGGTAGTATTAAAAAAGAATTTGATTTTTTTAAGGATACAGGACTGGGTGAGAGGATATAGATTTTGCTTATGCAAAAACTGCTGTAGGTGGCAGTCATAGCCTCATAGGCTGAGGCTGCTGCACCATAAAACAGGAAGCAGATAGAAAAAAGAAAGAAGATGGTTTCGGGGAGAGAGAAAAGAATTTTGCATTCACTCCTCAGGTATAAGAGAGTAGCAAGACCCTGAGGGTCGAGGAGGAAGTCTAGGAAGAAGGTTGGCCCTGGAACCCTCTTATGGGTAGAGAAGTTTAGCAAGAGGCCAGGTGAGAGACAGTGCAGCCACTAGGACTGAACAAGCTTCAGTGTGGTGAGCTCTGATAAAAGGGCAGGATCTGGACTTCCAGAAAGAGAGCTCTGGCAGGTGGTTAACTGAGGGACTGTGTAAGGGAAACTTAGGAGGGATGAAAAGTGAAGATGAGTTAAATTGTACACTTGGTATGAGATTTACTGGCGGATTCCAGGGGGAAGATCTGGCCCTGAAAGGAGGGTGAATTTAGAGAGGTTGTGAGAGAGACCTGCTGGCAGACTTGGTAGGAAGAAGTCCAGAGAGGCAGCAGTAAAGAGTCTGACATGGTAGACTTTGGCTGCTGGTTGTAGGGTCCTTGGACTGGAACCTAGTATAGTGGGAGGACCTGGGTTCCCCTGCTAGCCACCAGAGAAGATGGCATGAAACCCCTGATACAAGTGGAAAAGGACTTTTGACAGCCCTGAGATAAGCAGCTCTAAGGAGCACAGTAGGCCAGAATCGGGGCTGAAGACCTTTTGTAAGGACATTGGATTATCTGTTGGACTTCACTACCCTAAAAGGGGTGGGACCTGGCTGGAGAGGCTGAGTCACAAGAAGAGGCAGATCACTACAGGGCTTGAGCAACTGTCGGCAGAGGGTGCTAGAAGAGAGTCAGCCCAGACATGAGGGGATGCCCTTGTACACGCCTATACGCTATCTGGTTTTTGAAAAGAGGACACCAGCCCTGGTGCTTTCTAGAGACATTGAATTGATCACTATATCCACATCCATCATCTTTAAGCCCAGTGCTTCTGGGTTTCAGTTTGCTTGTAAAAAGTGGTGAATTCTGGGACTATTTAATAGAGGGTAAATCTTTTTAGAAAGATAACATCAATTTTCACTGCTCCCCATGAAGACTGAGATCTTTGTCCTGCTGTACCGTCCACTTTTCTTCATCCCCAGAATTACTTGGACTCAAGTGCTTCTGCAACAGAGCTCGTATGTATCTCCCCTGTGTAAATGCCATACTGCAACTGGTCATCCTTCACTGTAGCCCAAGACATCTGCTTGGTGGAGAACCTTGCTGCCCAGCCCCCTGAATTGCTGACAACTATGACACCTCCTAATCCACCCACTCTTGTTTTCATATAATTCAATGCAGTGTCAGCAGCATCCACCGGTGACATTCCTGAAAACAAGAACACAGAAGAGTGATGATCATGTAGTATCTGCTTCTGGTCCTATTGAAGTCAATGACAAAGTTCTCTTCAGATTTCACTCTGTGCAGAACCAGGCCCTCTATATTTCATTTACTGAATGCCCAAGAAGTTACAAGTGCAATGGCTGGAAAATGCTTTGTTTATGGGAGGAATGTGAACAACTGCAAATAGCTTCTATGCTGTAGTAATATGTAGCTTCCCATTATTCTGAGGTTTTAGTCTTTTTGATCTAGCATATCTGGTGAACTTTGTAGTTCAGTGACACATAATGGGACATTTTTGAAGGGTGGTGGTGGTCACTGTTGGCAATCTGCAAACGTGCCACTAGCAGCGGCCTGCCAGGGAATTTCTATCTAATACACTTATGACAAACACTCACAATAATTCACAGAGTGAGAGTTTAAGGCCAGGAGGGACCATCAGATCATCTAGTCTGACCTCCTATATATGACAGGCCACCAACCTCCCCAGCACCCACTCAAAACCCAACAACCGAAAGTAGACTAAAGTATCACAGCCCTTAGGAGATTAGACTATTACAAGCCACAGGCAGAGAATAGGAGGGATTGAAGTGCACCATGCCTGAGGCCCCCCACAATGGCAGGGAAATGATTGACATATACCTAGATAATCCTGGCAAGTGACCCACACCCACAGGCTGAAGAGGAAGGCAAAAAAAAAAAAAAAAAAAAAAAAAAAAAAAAAAAAAAAAAAAAAAACAAACAAAAAAAAAACCCAAGCTCACTGCCTATTTGACTTGGGTGAAAATTCCTTCCCAACCCCATATATGGCGATCAGTTAGACCCTGAGCATGTGAGGAAGAACCAGCCAGCCAAGACCCTAAGGGCTGGTCTATACTTACCGGTTAGTTCGACGGCTGGAAATCGAACTTCCGGGTTCAATTTATCGCATCTGGTCTGGACGCGATAAATCGATCCCGGAAGTGCTCGCCGTCGACTGCGGTACTCCAGCTCGGCGAGAGGAGTACCGCGGAGTCGATGGGGAGCCTGCCTGCCGCGTGTGGACCGCGTCTGAACCGCGGTAAGTTCGAACTAAGGTATGTCGACTTCAGCTACGTTATTCACATAGCTGAAGTTGCGTACCTTAGTTCGACTTGGGGGGTTAGTGTAGACCAGGCCTAAGAGAGAATGCATGGAGAATTGAACTGAAAGGTCACTGTGGGAACCCCTACAAAGTTAGACCAATGAACCCTGAGGAGCTCAGAGTGTGAATTCGGTTTGTGATGAATTTTGGTAATGTGGACGCTGATGCCACTGTGGGTGCAGCCATTGTTGGGCAGGATCTGCTATTAGCCTTCATATTGTTACCGGACTATGCACTGATGACACCAACAGCCAAGATCCTTTACCATACTCAATCCCTACTAATGAGAGCACTTTATAAACAAATTGAAGAACACTTTGTCCTACACAGAAGTCTGTTAAGGACAGTTATGTCCTTGTTCACAAGCTGTACCCTTCATTTGTCTCCAGAAATGCTGTAGTGCTTGGTCTTAATACTGTGAACTAAAGCAGCTGTGATGTTAAATTGTTTGTGTCCGTGTGTGTATATGTATTATTTATATAAACTACTGACTATATGCATTAGCCTTCCTTCAAACTTTCTGTGAAAAAAAAAAAAAAAACCATAATAGAAACTATTCACAATCTTTGCCACTGCAAGTTGGGAATCCATTCTCTAACATTGTGGCAAAATCCTGACTACTGAAGTCAATGGGAGTTTTGCCACTGACTTCAACAGGATCAGGATTTCAACCCGTGACTTTTCACCAAGGCAACAGCTGCCACCATAAGGCAGAAATTCCAATAGCTGTTAAAGATTTTTTCCAAACAAGTCACAGATTATATATGACAAGAAGAACTTACGTGAACTTGTAATACTTGGCACCCAGCAAAATGGAGGAAACTAATTAAACACACTGCTCAAAACATTCCTTCAAATATTGAGGAAACAGAAATAAGACTCTCCCCAAATGAAAGATGTTAAGGGAGAGCCAGCCATTCTTAACACTTCATGGATGCATTATATGCAACACTGGTATTCTAAAACACTTGTTTCCTATTTTTAGTAGTCTAAATCCTATTTTCAAAAATAAATTAAGCATTTAGGAGCCTATATCACATTGACTTTCAATGACATATAGGCTCTTAAGTCACTTAGGCACTTTTGAAATTTTTTCCCTAAGTGTGCGCGCAGGCTTATTTTACGGTTCTTAAATATTCTGCTTCTATTGGCAGCTCAAGTGCTCAAAGTAGAAATAACGATAGGAGTTTTGGCCCTTTCTTGAAATGCTGAGGAATTGCTTATTTGCTGGGGTCTTTGCCTGGAAGCTGGGTTGCTCCTCAACATTTCAGGGAAGGCTGAATAGCGGCAAGCTAACAATGAAAGGATTTCTACACACTAAGAAATTTAGAAATGTTTAAAAAGGGTTTTAGTGTGATTCTCCTCTCAGGCTAGTGTAAATCAGGTGCAACTCCACTGAAAACAATGGAGTTACTCCAATGTAAAACCAGGGTATGTGAGAAAAGAACCTGGCTCAATTCTTTAAATTTAAGATTGGGAGGCCATTTATGAAAGGAATGAACTCCAGTGAAATAGGACAGTGAGGTGGGGCTGTGGCATGTCAGGGCTTTGGGGAATAATCTGTACGGAGTATTATATTTTATACTGATATTTTCTCTTGGCTCTGCTAAGAATGAACCATGAATAGCGTATGTTGGGACCACAAAACATGTAGCAGTTACAGAAATCTTCTCAGCTGCTACTTGCCTTCTTGTTTCACATTTCTCTTATGAATAGGAATGTAAATGAAAAATGGTTTACTGTAATTCATATTCCAGTAAGAGTATCAAAAGTTATTGCTCATTAATACTTGCAAACCATAGCTTTCTAAAATTAGCAGTGATGTCTACATTAATGGTTCTGTAACTGCATGCAGTACAAGTATGTTGTCTGACTGTTTACAGGCTGTAATATAATCAAGGGTTTGGATGACATCCTAACTGATGAAGGTAAAGCTTTAAAGAGTCATCCACAGTTAGATTGTGTTACAGTCAGATGAGACACTCCATGCCAGCTGTTTACCACATATGCACTTGGTCTACTTAACATACAGTTTAGTACACTTTCCAAAGCAAAACTAAAATGCAGACATATGAATTCCTTTTTTAATAGAGAGAAAAAGGTTGTAAAATTTCTATTGCTACAAGCAATTCAGTCCTATGAATTGTTAGAACTTGTGGAGTCTCTAAGGTTCTTGTGTTATGGAAGCTTTGCACTTTCCTTTATTTGTACTCTTTTTGATTTTACTAATACTTGCTTGCATTTGCATTTTTCCAATTCTCTGCTCATGAAATTACTTAAAATTGTAAAAGAAAGCTTCAGTTAAATATAAAATAATTTATATGAATAATGATATATTATGATGCTGTATCTAAAACATAATGGAAGAAAAATATCCACACTACTTGATATTCAAAGAACACAGTTGGAATTTATTTGGTTTGCACTTTTAGTCCTGCTATTTTGTGTGTGCTTTGAGATAAATCCAACCAAAAATGGCCAGGAAACCGGTTTGGGGGGGCGGGGCAGGAACTGTATTGCTAAGAGTATAATTTACATAAACCAGTTAGTTCCAGTATTACTTTCCTTCATCTTACTGGAAAGTTTAGATTGTACCTTGTTCCATGTGATAGAGAATAAGTCGGGCTAGGACCACTTTCATCATGCTTTCTCCATGTCCTGTGGTAGAGATGGCACCAACATGGTTATCAGCATAGCCTCCACTTCCTGCTCAAAGAAAAAGTATGATACTAAAGCTTTAGGGCAAAAGAGATTTACAAGCAATGCATGATTTCAAATCACAGGCCAATTTCTAAAGTTCTGGAGGTCCTGTTGCTTCTAGGAACAAAGACCTGAAAGTTCATATGTGACATCTTTGTTTCTGATTTCTTCCTCAAAGTTTCAACAACAGTGTGAGAAGTCAGTCACAGCTAGAAGAGGTTGGTTGCCGAGTTATAGGGTTGGAAAGATAATGACATAATGGGGGAAGGAGGAATAATGGCGAATCTGATGTTGGAATAGGAAGGAGTGAGCATTAATAGTAGCCAGATCAATAGCAGGTAGATGGAGGAGAGGCATGCAGGAAAGACAAAGGTGGAAAGGCAGGCAGGGTGATGGTGGGGAAAATAGGAGGCAGCTAGATCTGCACTGATGACTGACTGGCTAGGGAGGTGCACTGCAGGAATGTGCTGACCAATGGGCAGCAGAGAGGTGGTAAGAGCTCGCCAGGTAGCAGCACTAAGATTCCACTGTGACAGAGCATGGGAGAAAAGCCCAAACAGGAGAGCTGCTTCCAAGTTAGCTTTGTAAATTCAAAAGGCTGCACTGACCCAGAAGTGCAGCAAACCTGCTGATATCAGAGGACCTCCAGGTGCCATCATTTAAGCAACAGGTGTTTGTGCCTCTCCGTGGGTCACTAGAATCAGCACCAAAGTTAAGGTCCTACAGCCACCTGATATCCCAACTCTCAGCTAAAACAACCACTCACTGAACTGTTTTTTTTTATTTAAAGTCCATCTAGTGCTCATGAATGGTGCAATTAATAGTTACAATGTCAGGAGCCATGGAAAACAAAGTCAAATTATCGTTTGCTTATACTTTAAAAATTCTTTGAATTAAAAAACAAAAAAACAAAAAACAAAAACAAAAAAAAACAAAAAAACCACAACAGTAGAAAATCTTGCATTCAGAAGAGACATGGTTTCAAGCATGCTCCTTTTTATGAATGTTGTGCCTCCCCCGAAAAATGAACCTTAAAAAAGCCACACACCGATGATGCTCTTGGAGAGAAAAAAGTCCTGGCAGATAATATTTTTGAACGGGAAACTCCTGTAGGCCCCTTGAGGGTCACACATTTGGTGCCTTATTCCTGCAGACCACAGGGGAGACACAGGAGAATGACTCCATGTGGGTAAGTACATCACCCTTGCCAAGCATTAGGAGACTGGTTAGGGGCCTTAAGATGTTGTTCAGGGGTTAACCAAAATGTCTCCCCCTCCTGCAATCCTATTTAGGCTAACATCTGCCAAGCCTAATAAGGCTCTGTGAGTGCAGGTGTGTTTTGAGGGATCCCACTGAGACAATTAAGGCAGATCAACCCCCAGATAGTGTCCAAAGACTTGTGGGGGGTGGGCCCTGATGCACCTCCTACGTAGCACAGAGTGATGAACCTGAGGTCCTCAGGAGAAGCAGAATGCTCTCAGGCTGCTGACCCCCCTTCCCATCATCACCACTACTTCATTCCGTGCCCCCTTATCCACTGGCTCCCTTCCCTACCATTCTCTACGCTGGTCATCTCCATTGTATCTGCTGAGGCAGTTATTTGCCATGGGCCTTTGGAGGTGCATAGGATAGGATTACTACAGTTAGTATGGAGTTTAGGATGGGGAGCAGCAGAGAGTGAAAGGTTTTCCTCCTTCCCACCCAAAAAGGGATACTCAAGTTCCCTCCCTTGATTAAATCTGGACCTCCCAGAAGATCCAATATGCATTGAAAATGTTGCCATATTCTATTCTGCAACAAGTTTGGAACATGTTTTACTAAAAATATTGTTTTTCCAGTTTCTGGTTCCATGGGAGAACTATGTAGCAATCACCAAATACAAGCCCGTCCCGTTAGAGGAATTCACTGGAGAATAGATTAAGAGTCCCTTTATCTACAGATGAGAGAACACTTATACCATTTCTTCTATTCTGCTCCCCACCATCATGCTTTCCATGGCTCTTTATGAACAGGAACTTATTGAGAGAGTCAAAGCTTTAAATAAGAGTGACTTAAGTTGCCAGTCATGTTAGAGACTTCTAGTCAAATTCTCATTGCTCTCATGAAACTCCAATGACTGCAATTGGAGATGCACCTGATATACAATGGTATAAATGGGAGAAGAATCTGGTGCATTTGGTTAATTTTTCACATTAGTTTTGACCCTTTTCTTTGGGAGACACCTGGATTAAACACCATCTGAGCAACTAATAGAGCCTTAGAGGGGAACGGGTTGCAATTTTGTCCCTGTTGCAAGGGAACATAGCAGATGAGTTCTTGGTTTTTGCATAAGAGTATCACAGTATAAGGGACATGATAGGGAAACCCCAGACCATACTGTTTCCAGAAAAAGGGGGAATGTCTCCTATTTCTGTTTGTTCAGACCTACCAGAAAGCTGGACAGTAAGTACAAAACATCTACCCCACCTGCAGCCTTCTGGTTGCATGGAAGGAGCAGTCGCTAAAAGGATAAACTGACTCATTTTAGTATGCTTTAATGTAAGCCTCAGTTCTAGATCAGTTAGTGTCAATATTTCATTTCAATCATAGAAAATGTGAGTGTTAACTGATTTAATTTACCCGTACCTATGCATGCTGAATCACCGACTCGGCCAACCAGTTTATTAGTGAGTCCCCCAGTGGATGTTGCACAAGCTACGTTTCCTTCATTGTCTATAGCAACGGCACCAACTGTTCCAGGGTCTCTGCCAAGAATAATATTTCACAGAATTAGGCAGGGTTAAGAATACTTGCCAAAGCATGTTGTGTCCATTCTGCAGGTAGCTTTTACAAATGTGAGATTACAACAGAAGTCTACAATTGAATGTCATTAACTTTAATCTAGTCTCATGTCAGAATCACTTCATTTTCATGTAATTGTGTTGTTTTTTTAATGTAGAGAGTTTCATTATGAAATCCACTATCCATTTCAGATAACAAGCTATATGTAACAATTCTGACATAGTATCAACGTTATAATTAATAGCACAGATGTCAAATTCTTGGCCTGTTGGATCTATTTATCTGATCTCCCCACGATAAATTTATATGCTACAGTATGAAAGCTTTCATTTGGAAAGAATATAAAAATTCCTAGCCCTCCTGACTGTGAAGATAATTTTTCAAATGGGACACACTGAAGCTCTGAATTAGCCTGAAACAGAAACTCAGAAGTGGGAAGTGCCTCCACTGTTCCAATTGGAGGAGAGCGCTAAAGCCTAGTGATGATACATGCAAAAAGAGAAATGAATAAAGAAATAGCAGTGGTCCTAAAAATGCCATGCATCACTCCCCCACATAGACTGGCCAGCCCGCGCCGCTTCCTACAGCTCCCATTGGCCGGGAACGGCGAACCGCGGCTACTGGGAGCTGCGGGCGGCTGTGCCTGAGGATGGTCAATGTAAACAAACTGTCTCACGGCCCGCCAGCGGATTACCCTGATGGGCTGCGTGCAGCCTGTGGGCCGCAGGTTGCTCACCACTGCTCTAAAGCCTAAAATGTCGGAGTCAGTGTGAAGTGATAGAAACAGCTACAAGCAGGGCTGAGAACTCTTTATTCAGAATATCACCATGTTGAATCATCACTGAGTTTTGCAGTCTGTTGCCATCCTGTTTTTATGTTCTCAGCCCTTTAGACTTTACAAATTACACCCAGGTGGTGTACAGCCTACAGTAAGATGTGTATCTATGCTATGCCAAGAGTCCTAGACCACTGTGATATTGGAGGTAACTCAACCATTTAACTACCCTTACACTACAGCTAATTTACATGCAACAGTTGCATTGGTTGTATGAGGGAGATGGCAGAGATGGCGGATTTCTTGGCCCAGCTGCCACAGTCTTTCCAAACCACCCACCCAACACAACCAGCACACATAATCCTAAATACACACACAGCCCCTTAGTGCAGTGCACATCCCTCATTTGCCACCCCACAAATCAACGCATCTCCCACCACAACCCCCGAGACCTGAAGCAACACAACCAGCATACACAGTGACCACATACACCACTCTGAAGTCTGAGTCAGTGCGAAGTGAGTAAAACAGCTACAAGAATGGTTGAGAAGTCTTTCGATTTAGAAGATCACCAGGTTCAAGCCTCACTGGAATTCGTGGTCTGTTACCCCTTAACTAGTAGCTGAAAGTCCATGCTGTTGCAGGGTTGTAATTCGTTTAGAATATATCCTCATCCTGTCTACAGCATGAGCTTGGCTGACCTCAGATGTACTTTGTGTCATACTACTATACTACTTAATAAAATAGCTAAGTAACAATACATAATACATTGTCTTTCTATTAATGAGTTTTTGCCACCTTCCACTGTCACAAGATTGAAGCTCAAACAGTTAGTATTATTAAACCCCACTCCCCACTGAAAAGGTCAGTCATTTTGATAGTTGGTTATTCTCCCTACTATTTTTCCCTCCCCCCATTTTATTATAAAAAGTTTTTCTTTCAAATGTCTTTCATTCTGCTGCTGTCTCCTACCCTCTCCCTCTGCTAATGGCTTTGTTTTTCTCCCTCATCCCCCCAGAACTGGTTTTTAGGCTATTTTAGCAATGCATTTTTAACGACCATACTTTCTGGTCTGCTTGTTTTCTCAGTGACCAAATACCACTGCCAACCCCTGAAGAAAGAAACTATTAACCAAAATTTTGTAGATTATAAATTAATTGTTTGATCCAGTTTAAAACAAATCCAGTCTATCTTGGTTATGCAGACTTATGGATAGATATTTATGTTCTGCCAGGGGCTGGCTGTTGGTTTAGCAGTGGAGACAGTGCCTCATTTAAACCGCAGCTCTCCTTTGGAGAGTGACTCTATATAGATGGCACTTCCTTGCTCACCAGATCTGCTCAGTGTTTTTGTTCAGGACTATCTGCTAACTTCAGTTGAAATATTTTTTCCCCACCTGCCAATGGTGGAGGGCCCATGCTGCTAAGTGATCATGAGCTGGATTCTCTTCCTTCTTCAGCATCAATAGGATTGTTTCCCAAATTTCATCAGTTACACTTGCCTACTGAAGGTTGCCCACATATCATGGAGGGCATAATTTAAAAACCACGTGGAAGCACATGTGTATGTCATGGCAGAATTAAGCCTACAGAACTACTTTCAGATCCCACAGCGAGTCTGCATGGTTGCTAGTTAGAGAAAGCACTTACTGATACCACAGAGACATTAGAGTGTAACATATTTTGTGCAGTACCTACTTTTTAAACTCATGAGGGTTAGAATCTGGCTCAAGGTTCTTGCTCCATCTCTCCCGGGATCTTTCCGTTATAAGTTTCTCCCCTGGAATCTCAGGAACACCCATGGCCTTGGCAAAAAGATTTGCCCCATGGTCAGTCAGCAACATGTGCTCTGTCTGATAGGGACAGAAAAAAAAAAAAAAAAAAAAAAAAAAACTCTTGACACTAATTGGAGTTCAGTACTGATCTGTATAGTCTTATATAAACACTTGATTGTTTTTAAAAATGTATTCAAAGACATGTTTTTGTTTTAAACTTCTTGGAAACCAATAAAAGGCACAATTGTGGCCCCAATCCTGCTCCCATTGACTTAAGTAGGAGTATGCTTGGATTCCTATTTTACTTTTTTGATGGAACAGGAGGATTTTGGATTCAATAATGCAAAAAACCCCAAAAGAAAATAATTAGGATTAACAGAATATAATTGCCTTCAAATATTCAATACTCATTAGATGAGAAAAATAGAATTCACTCATACTATTTTTTTTCTGAAACTAGATAGGATACTGCTATTGCAATCCTTTATAGAACTGGTTTTGCAATCTCTTCCAATCAATCATTGGTATTTTGCTTATCTACATGATTGGTTTGACCAGGTCACTGAATGACCTAAAGAACTATTTTTATTTTAAGAGAAATATGCTCAGTGGTGACCTGCAGAAAAAATTATCCTTTGTTCAAACGTTGTTATTCCTTGTAAATAGTAAAATAATAATCCTAAACGTATCACACACTAACATACATTTTTCTTAACGTCTAAAATGACTAAATTGATGTTAACCCACCACCAAAATATTTACTGACCTATTTAGGTCCAGCTCCTGTCCTTATGTATGCAAATACCATTCCCGTACAGTACCTGAATCAGTTGTCACATGAAGTCAGTTAGTTTGGTGAAGGTCCACTTCTTACTGTAGTAAGGCCCTGATTCAGCAAAGCACTTAAGCACAAATTTAGGTCATACTGAAGTTAATGGGACTTAAGTACATTTTCTTAACATTAAGTACATGCTTATGAGCTCTGCTGAATCAAGGCCTGAATGAATGTCCTCAAACTTCTGAGCCCCTTCTATTCCCCAAAATGAATTTACTCAAAGTAGCACTTCTGTCATTCTGCTTTACTAGGAGCTTTATAACTTTGACAGAATGAGGAAAGAAAATTTTAAAACAAGAAAAGCATTTAAAAACATTAAGATCCAAATCCTTTAACTAGTGCCCATCCTGAGCAGCTTGGCTGGGTCCGGGCAGTGTTGCAGAAGGGAGAATTTGACTCTAAGAGTCTGATCCTACAAGAATGCTGAGTGCCATCAACTCCCACTGACTTTTAAAGTTGTGACATGACATAAAAAAAACAAAAACAAAAACAAAAAAAACCTCCACCCTGACACAGATGCCAGGACACAATGTTTCACTGTTACTACGCAGCAAACTAGAGACCTAAGAACACATAGGCAACCTGACTTTAAATTGCCGGGGTCTATCACAGGGTGTGTTACGATCTTAGTGTTAAATGTTGCAAACATTTACACATGAGTACCTTTACTCCCGTGATTAGCCCCACTGAATGCATTGCTTGCGTGCATAGGCATTTGCAAGATCATGATCTTAAGATACATCTGCACTGGAATAAAAGACCTGCAGCATGACTGCCGCTGGCCCGTGTTAGCTGACTCAGGCTCACAGGACTCAGGGCTGTAAAATGGCTGTGTAGGCATTCACACTCAGGCTGGAGCCCAGGCTCCGTGAGAAGGGAGAGTTACAGAGCCCAGCCTGATCCTGAATGTTGACACAGCCATTTTGAAGCCCCACATACTGAACCTTGCGAGCCTGAGTCAGTTGACTGAGGCCAGCCACAGGTGTTTAATTGCCAGATAAACACACCCTCACAGTCAAACACTTTTTACGGTTTTTTTTTATTGTCAGACTGAGTCCTTATTCATGAGAACACAGACATGGAACAATTTTCACTGTAGAAGTGGAGGCATGAGACAGGCGTCTGTGTCTTCGTAACAATGGACAACAGTCTTTTATACGGAGTGATGTTACCAAACAATAGAAGACATACCTGTACTGTGAGCCTATTAATATTTGTCAGGGAGAAGAATAAAGACAGTGTATTCAGACAAAGCTGAAATGATCTTGTACTTTGCTGAACAAAACTTCCTTTGTGCAATACTGCCCCCCTATGCCTTTGTAACTAACCCACTAGCAACCTGTGATTCAAAACCTCCGAGAATTAAAGTGGGAAGAGAGACACTTAAATACATACATTTCAAAGCAAATTTTAAGAAGTCTACCTCCAACACCTGCTCTCTTCTGACTCCCCCCCAACAAAACTCAGATGGGCAATGGAAACCTCTTCATTGTATTTATTTTAAAAGTGAACATAAATTCTCGAAGCCATTACATGTCTAAACAAATAACTTTTCATTTTATATGCCCTATTAGGTTATTTAATTTTTAAAAGTTTGTTTAGCAAAGCAGCTCTCAGGTGTTCCCAGCATGCACTGCTCTGGTGATGCCTTCACACCTTAGAATAGGTTCTGAACAGGGAATCTTTGTCAACAGAGGAGTGTCACAGAGGCCCATTCCTTTAAGCTAGCTCTTACTAGGAAAGAATATGGGATGGGTCCTCAGTGTTTATTCTATAGCACTTTTCTAAAAGGTTTGTTTATTTAACAATCTTATTGCATAGCCTAGAGCAGAAAAAACAGCTGGAATATTGAAAAATGGACTTCCCCGCCCTCTAGAGAGGTAGATACGATACTCACTTCTCCCGCCACCTATTTTTTCCATGGCCTCTTGAATATGTTTATTAAATTAACAATATTGCAGATATTGGCAGTTAGTGGAATATAAATAATATATAGACAAACAAGAGTTTCCAAAGCGAATAAGAAAGGTCTCAGGGTTAGGGTGGCAAACAACAAATGGTCATGGGTGCCAGTTTAAAAGACTTTGGCAGCCAGCCTTGAATTCAGACTAAGATTGCCATGTGTTTATTCAAGACCCTGGCACAATACAGAACACAGCAAAGATACTACCTCCTGCATTAAGGAGGTAGTATCTTTGGGGTCTGTATTAAAATCTTTGGGGTCTAATTTAGGGAGGTGGGTTGTACTGTAGTTGAAATTTATTCACACAACTCATTCGTTGCACAGAAAAATCAAGTAAACCAGTGTTCCAATCATCATACAATCTTTGCCTTTGAGTTCTTTTCTCCTGAAAATGCCTAATAATTCTTTCATTTTTGGATGGCTATTTTCACACACATATACCCTATACATCAGTTTTCTATTTCTGTTCATTGCAAATAATAATTTAACAGGAACTGTTGCCTCAGTACATTAGAGGTGAAAGGCTTAGTAGGTTAGACACTTCTCAATTCTGTCTTATGGTAAGTCATCAGTTAAAGTTATTCTGGTACTCTCATTTTCATTTGGCTAAGTTTGGCCCAACTGAGAGCTTGAGTTACAGAATACTAGGATACCAATGGGTGTTGCAGGATTTAAAGGAGTTGTTTTGGCCACCAGATGGAGCCCATATTGTTCCACAGGCAGAACTGAAATACTGATAATTACAAAACAGCTTTTATCATCATCATTATGGCTGTTTTTCAAAGGAATCTAAGGGAGTTAGGCACCTGATTTCCATTGAAATCCAAGGGGATCTGGGCACCTAATACTCTTAGGATCCTTTAAAAATCCCAGCCTTCGTCTTCCATGTGTTATGGAGTTCAAAAGTTGTTCCTAGTGCATACAAAAAGCTTTGTAATCTGCAAATATTAGAACTTTTTTTTCTTACCTTCCATAAATAGGGTACTCTTTAAAATGATGTGCATGATGTTAAGAATAGCTAGGGCTGTACAAAGACAAAGTCACACTTGGGTGCAGAGGACTGCTACAAGGCCTAGCTCAGCCATTCTGTAAGGTTGTGCAGGAGGGGAACTATGGTTGGAGCAGCCAAGCTGGAGGCCTCTCCACCTTCTGTGCACCGCAGAGATGAGGTCTGCACATATGCTGCTGGCCGAAAATTTCGGTCTACAGCGAGCAGAAGGGCAACAGCTGGTTAATAGACTAGAATTCTAGCCAGTGGATGGGAAAAGGTGAATTCCCCTGCTGGCTGAGGATATATCAATTACATCCCCACAACCCACTTGGACTTCTGTGTGAAGCCTGGTTACTAGACCTTTGAGGAAAGGAGTAAATTTTACCAGAAAATAAAATCTCATTGTTTGGTTCTGTCAGATTAATACAAGCAATCTGTTCCTGTATAGTTGCATTCTATTACTTGACTTAAAAATCTAGCCTCAATATTTTTGACTACCAAAAAATTTTACCCGCTATTGTACAAAGACTTCACCATGATTGTAGGGAAAGAGAGAAGCAAGTAAATAATAATACCATACAGCTCTTGAAAAGCACTTTTCATCAGTAGCTCTCAAAACACTTTACAAAGGGAGGGAGTCAGAATTATTATCCCCATTTTACAGATGGGGAAACTGAGGCACATAGTAGGGAAGTGATCTGTCCAAGGTCACCTGGTAGGTCAGTGGCAGAGCTGGAACCAGAACGTGGGTCTCCAGAGTCCTAGTTCTGTCACCTGAGATGACTTTTTCAAGAGTGCTTACTGTTAGCCTAATTCTGCTACCACTCAAGTCAAAAGGTGGTTTTACCATTGAAAGATAATAGCCAAATCAGAACGTTTATCCTTTGAAACATGAATTGCCAAAGGTTATTAAAGGTGGCCAGTTTAAAAAAAAATACAATCTGTGTCTTAGAATTTTGAGAAAGATCTGGAAATATTCCTCTGAGGCTTATTTTTACATTAGAAATGTTAGGCCTTGTCTACCCTGGTTTTGCCTGGATGACTCTATGAACATCTGTCGAATTAATGAGAGAAACATCACAGGTGAATGAAACCTTAGTAACTGAGTGAAAAAGGGATTTTTTGTAGAATCCTTAAAGAAAACCAATCTAGATTTTTTTTAAAACATTTGTTTAACCCAGTGTTTTGATGACAAACATTTTGGTGGAAAGCTCTCTTCATTAGAGATTCAAACTCCCTATTCTTCTATTAAGGGCTAAGATTGCTCAACTCCAGTTCTTTAGTCCTTCAAGAAGCCTTTCAGAACAAGTCTTAATATTTTTGATCATACGAGGTTATAAGAAGAGAAACAAATAGCCTGAATATGTGGGATTTTAAAGGTTTTATAGATCATGAAAGGAGAGGAAATGTTTGTACTCCTCCTTTGTAAGTCACCTTTAAAGTAGCCAGGAGACTGAAGTAGAAGAAACATGAAAAATAAACCCACTTAGGCCTGGTCTACATGAAAATATTTCTTACCCTTGTTCAGCTATAGTGGAGCTGCACTGCTACTATCAATAGTGTAAATTCTAGTTTAGACAGGGTTGCTAGCACTTTTAATCACCGTGTCATATAATCCTCATTGTGGTTAAAAACCAGTGACACCCTGTGTACTCTAGAGCTTCCCCATTGGTTGCAACACTGTGCTACGCCATTGCTGAAAAACAGGCAAGTAATTTCCTCATGTAGATACCCATTAAGACGCACTTGCTACTGGAGAAAAATGACATGTAACAGTTAACATGTAGTCAAGTCCAGATGCTCATGATTTCATTTGCCACATATACTGATAAATTATTTGTGTTCAAACAAGTTCAGTTACCACAGGTTGCAGCTTTTACTGCTATCTGCTCCTAGTGCAAAGTTGCAGTGCTAGTCTGACATCACTAGTCTTTCCAGATCAATCATCTGATTATTTCACAAAATCTTAAAGTAGAAGTGGAAAGGTCATCTAGTGTAATCTGTTAAACTATCTAATAGAGTCACTATTGTGTCATTTAGGGCTCGTCTTCACTACCCGCCCGGATCGACGGGTAGAAATCGATCTCTCGGGGATCGATTTATCGCGTCTTGTCGGGACGCGATAATCGATCCCCGAATCGACGCGTGTACTCCACCAGCCCAGGTAGGAGTAAGCGCCATCGACGGGGGAGTCGCGGTGGTCGATTTGCCGCTGTCCTCACAGCGGGGTAAATCGGATCAGATATGTCGAATTCAGCTACGCTATTCCCGTAGCTGAATTTGTGTATCTGAAATCGATCCCCTCCCATAGTGTAGATGTAGCCTTACTTCTATCGCCTGACTTTGCATGATTGTCTGTAGGGGACAGTCTCCAGTACATTGTCCTGCAGGCTCAGGCAGGAGGGCTGTGAGAGACACTGCTCTTATTAAAACAAATATCTACAGTATTTAGCTCAGAAAAAAGTGAAAACAACTGGCAAAGTAAATTACGTATATCAATTTCTCCTCAAGTTTGCAAGTATATGCAACACCCTTTTAAGAGTTGAATAAAATTAGCACTTCAACTAATCTGAAAATAAAAATAGTCTTGCCTCTTTATATTCATGCCCATGGTCTCTACCAGTACCACTGATTTCTTCCTCCTTCCCTGATTTAAAATACTACACAAACATCATAGTCAGTGAGGTGTATCAATACATGCAATGAAATCCTAAAATAAAAAATGTTTCTTATTCAAGTGCACATTCAGCATACCTTTTCCATGACAAGACGAGCAAGCTTTATTGGGTTAGCTATACATTTAACTGCAGATACTGCTCCTGAGGCTAGATTTTTTCCATCCATGATAATGGCATCCATTTCTACTTCACCCTTCTCATTTAAAACAGATCCACAGCCTAAAGACCAAAAGGGGGAAAAAAAAAAAAAAGACATTAAGAGCTAAACATGGGGTGATTCAGTTTTATTAGCTTTTAATAGGCAAACCTTTTTTCCAGTTTGTGTATCGGCTTGTTTTAAGCCTCCTAAATGCCAAACAGGTTTTGAAAAGAGAAACGTTCCTGTTCAAACAGAAATAATTAATAGGACAGTATATGGAACTTAATATAATTGAATTTTAATGAAAACAAGGAGTCTGGTGGCACCTTAAAGACTAACAGATTTATTTGGGCATAAGCTTTCGTGGGTAAAAACCTCATCCGAAGAAGTGAGGTTTTTACTCATGAAAGCTTATGCCCAAATAAATCTGTTAGTCTTTAAGGTGCCACCAGACTCCTTGTTGTTTTTGTAGATACAGACTATCACGGCTACCCCCAATACTTGAATTTTAATGGTACCTAAGTCACATTAGGTGTGAAGGGCAGAGTTATAAACAACTATAAATGAGACTGTTTCTACCCCAATATCACTTTTTACACACATAAAACTATTTTACCTCCACATTCCTCCAACAATAGATGCAATACAACCTATCTGAATACCTGAGGCTAGGTCTACATTAGGGGAGGGGGGCGGGTCGACCTAAGATAAGCAACTTCAGCTACGCGAATAGCATAGCTGAAGTCGGCGTATCTTAGGCGATTTACCTGGCCGTGAAGACAGCGGCGAGTCGACCACTGCCGCTCCCCCATCGACTCCGCTTCCGCCTCTCGCCACAGTGGAGTTCCAGAGTTGACGGCAGAGCGATCGGGGATCGTAGACGCGATAAAATCGATCCCCGATAGATTGATCACTACCCGCCGGTCCGGCGGGTAGTGTAAACGTACCCATAGTCTAATCCTTTGAGGTGCTGAGATCAATCAGAGATGACAGCCCACAGTATCTTGCCAGGCCAAACAACAAGATTTCAACCACTGTTGGATTTGATGCAATGGCACAAATGCAAAATTCTAGCAAGAGTGAAAAAATATATTTTCCATTCACCAAAAGTCTGAAATATGGTGAAATATTTATTGTTAGCAAAAATAAATGAAGGAGTTAAGTAAAACACCAAGATAAAATGCTGTGAAAATCTAAGCAGTTATTGGAATAACTTTTGCAAATATTTATGTCAATTCTGTAGTGAAACCTTCCTTTAACAATGAGATGTACTGTGTGATATGCAGGGTGGTACTGCAAAAAGCTCTCTAGTAACTGGAATATTTTATCATGGGTGCTGGTTAGTAATCAATCATCACTGAAATCAACACAAATGTATAAGTCTTGCAAACAGTGGGGAGAAAAGTACAACTCCATTTGAAGGCAAGTTCCTACTAGAAACACTTTCAGTATGTTGTTAACAGGATTGGTGCTTTAGCTGTGCTTAAACTGTGAAAAGGTATTTTCCTGTTAGTAAACACCAGTTTCCATCTGTAGCGGGGTGGACACCCGCTCCTGCCCTGAAGGGCTTAAAACAGCCCTGGTAGAAGGCTGTTGCAGGGGGAAGCAGCTACTAGGCTGATTGGGGAAGCAGCTGCAGCTGGGCCATGCCCCAATCAGGCCTCAGCTGGCCCTATATAAAAGGCTGGGAGCCAGAAGCTCAGCAGTCTCTCTCTGCCTTCAGAGAAAGAAGGGCCTGGCTGCTGGGAAGCTCGGGGTGCCTAGAGTGAGGCAGGGCTGGGGAGCTCCAGGCTGGCAACTCCCCAGGCCGCAGGGTCTTGTCCCAGGCCCCAGAGAGGGGCAGCAGGTCCAGACCCAAGCTTGCTTATGATAAGTGGCTTATACTGCAGTCTGCCCCAGGGAGTGGGGCTAGATGGTGACTGGCAGTAGCCTTACAGTGAGGTGGGTGGGGGGTTCCCTGGGAAGGGGAGACCCAAAGAGAAAGTGGTTACTGCCAGGGGGCAGCCCCCAGATCAAGGGGCACTGGGTCTGGGAGGGACATGGTGGGCCAAGAAGTAGGTGGAGCACTGGCCTGCAGAGGCAGCTCCAAGGCGGGCAGAGCTAATTCCCATGGATGACCAGCAGGAGGTGCCGCAGGGGTGTGTCCGCTCCCCTACACCATCTTTCTTTAATATTGGTTTAACAATCTGACAGACTCTTAGGCCAAAATATTACAGAGCTGGTGACACTGACTTCTGTGAGATTATTCACCTGAGTAAAATTATGTATGTGCTGATGTACAGGGGATGAAGTATCGGTGAGGTCAACTCCCCACTTTCTACTAAAAGCACAGCTCTCCTTTCCCCCATAGTTTGAATTCATCCACAATTTAGGGTTGCTAACTCTCCTGCTTGGCCTGGAGTCTTCTGGAATCAGCACTGATCTCCTGGTGACTATTGAAAGCAATCTGGGAGACTTTAATAGGATATTTTAAGAAAACATTATGTCATGTTGGGGGGGGGGGAAATCTCCTGGAATAGCTTCAGTCAGAGTTGGCAACCCTACAGCTGCTCCTGCACTATTCAGGTCAGTAAGTTAGCAGTCTGTGACTACCACTGGCTGCCATCTCCCAGCTGGGTCACATATCTGTTTCTACCTCACATGCCTAGGAAGACCAGTTCATGCAGGTGTTTCAAACCCAGGGTGTTCAAACATGACAGCTGCTGTGCATTGAGATGGGCATAACTAATCAGAAGCCACTACATTTGCAGCAGCACTTCACAAAAATATGGGTTATTTAGCCCAGCTTTGAATCAAGGGCAGGAAGCAAGAGCCAAGGAAAACCCAGTGGGTCTGACCTCTTCCAAACTGTAGTAGGGGTTGTAGGGTATTGCACTTATCTAGCAGATGCGAGGGAGTCTGTGTGTGCCTTTGTCTGCTCTCACTAGAGCCTGTTTCTCCACTCTTCCTACTATCTATGGACCACAGTGTAGCTGGGCCTGCAAGGGAGAAGAGAGCATAAAGAGCCTTATACTCCTTACATAGGAGCTGTAGTCCTTGTACATGGTAGGTTCGGGGTTGCTACTAGCAGGTCAGGCTTCTGTATCAGATATGGAGTGGCTGCAGAGCTATTCCAGAGAGATACACCAGAGATGTAAGACACTTTAATAACTACCAGGAATAGCTGGTGTGAATTCGTTATGTTACACAGAGCACCACCTTGTGGCTGAACAGTATAATAAAGTTTAGAATTCCATTCCATACGGAGTGTAAACTAGCACTGTTAGCCCCCACAGAGGGGGTGGGAAGGAGATGTGACCATAGCCCCCCTCTCACCTCAGCCAGTAGAGCTAACCAGCTTCTAAAGGGACTATATGCTGCATGCTCTGTGCATGCACTTAGATCTGGAAGACATTGTGCCTCCTGAACGCCTGCAAGGGCTGGGAGACTCACATCATTCACAATACACAGCCCAACTGAACCCTGTTATCTGAGAAGAGACCTGCATCACTTGGTCCTTATCCCTATTTCCTCCTCACCACCCTGCTTGTCTCTTAGCAATGCTGGTGTTTTCCAGCAAACATTACACAATAAAACGGCTTTCTCCTTTATGGAGATAAACACCACATGGTGGGTTTTAAACAGCCACTCCAATCAGACCTCTCTTCACATAGCTTTCAACTCATTTTCTCCTGCTCATTAAATACAGCTGTTCTCAATGAGCTTTAACACACATAGCTGTATATGCAAGTGATTACAACTACTTACCATGTGCATTAGGGAAGCCAAACTTTAATAAGTGGGCTGCAAAACTGTTTCAGCTGAAAGCTCAGGCCCACAACCTTAGCAATTTTTTGTTAAAAGTCAGTTGTCATTTAATGTGTGAAGTACATTATAAACAGAGCATGAAATACAGTTATCTGAGCAAAGAATAAATTTGAGTAAACATTATTTAAGCAAAACAATCTATTTCAGGCTTAAAATATCCTGATTTGCTCATTTATAACAAAAGGTGGCCACAAGACTCAGTCCAGGAAAAGGGAAGCCATATACATGTACTTTGCTTTACATGCTAGTTAAATGTTAAAATTGTTGACGATCTCTTTGGTAGAGGATAATCTGAAGTTTTATCACCCATTTGCAATAGTTTGATAAATTCTGAGCAGTTGCTCGCAGTCATTAAATCAGCAGAAATAACAGTTTAAACACATGGGGTTAAATTCCCCTCTCAGTTACACTGGTCCACTGAAGCCAAAGGGTTCAATGCAGTGAAGCTAATGAAGTAACACCAGTGAAAGAGAAGGAAAATTTCACCAACAGATTCTTTGTCATGTGGTACAGCCACTCCATTTTAATGGATTAGTTGGTTGATATTGGGGTAGTAAATTCTTACAGTGCTCTGTCAGAAAGGACATGACTAAGAACCTCAAGTCTTGTATTCTAGAAAACAGGGCAAGACTTCCCATTTAGGGCAGTGTTTTGCAGATGATCACTTTTCTTGCCCTAGAGAGAAATATGTAACTTTAAAATATCGGTTACTATGCGTCTGAGCTTGATGTCTACAAGATCGACAACTTGGACAAGGAATAATGATAAAGTGAAGGGGAATGAAAATATCCCCAGATGGAAAAGCTAGGTACATATGTGGTGGTGGCAAAAGAATGGTATACCTACCTTTCCCTAGCCAACTTATTTTTTCTACTCACTCCCCCTCCATCCCAGTAGGACTCAAGAATAGTAATCCCAGGAGTCACAAGATACTGTATAGAGGGCTATGGAGAGCCTTGGGTCAGCTTTTGGGTATTACAAATTATATTATTTCAGTGGCCATTGTAGTCAGCCAGGTTTTCAGCCTTTTAAATAAATAAATAAATCTCAATGGCACCCAGATATACTACGAAAACCACCACACACACAAGTAAACTTTACTCATCCAAGAAGCTCCATTGGCTTCAAATAGATGCTCTGTCGGAATAAAGATTAAAAATACATGTTCACATGTGTATTTGTAGAACCATCTATACTTGTGCATAACAAATCAAGAGACCACATGATCTTTTGGTTGTAATTCTTCCCTTTCCCCCGTCCTCTGTTTTTCATCATCACACATAGTGTTAAGTTTAAATGTAGGCCCAGACCTTGTGACTGGCTCCCTACAGGCAGATGAAGACCTAAGATCAAGTGGACCTGCAATAAAGTTGGCAGGACTCCTCAAGGGATCAGGGATTTGCCTGTGCAGACCTAGCTGATGTCTTGTATGGCAAAAAGGCAACGTCTGGCTAGAGGAGTGTGTGTCCGACACATACGAAGTAAAGCTTTACAGTACTGAAGCATTAAAATAAATAAAATGCTGAAAACAAAGTTCACATACTGATCCATTAAATGAGCAAATCAAATCTCCAAAGGTTGGGGGAAAGAGAATGAAGACGGCTCTCATGGACAGACAAAGAAAAGTGTGAGCTTAAGTAGAAAACAAATCTAGGGCTGGTTATAAAACAATCCCACCGTGCGTACCATGTTTGCCCCATGTTTCTGTTTCCATTTTGCGAACTCAGAAAGGCTTGTCACCAGCAGTGTTTTCTACCCAAGTCAGTCACAGAACAATATAATTCTAACACAAAGTGAAATGGCTTTTCAGGGCGGGGATGGCCATATGATACTCTCTGAACTAGGTGGCCATGCTGAAAACAAGCGCTTCTACATAAAGCACTAAACAAATGCAGGCCTTTGTCTTCAGCTCCATTCCTGACATATTGAGTGGGAGCACAAAAGGAGCACTATTTTCTACTCACTTTAAGCAAGATGATAAAATGAGGTTGGTGGGAAGGAGAAAATATTAGACCGCATCATTGAAGATAGGGGTTCATAACTGGTGTTCTTAGCAACGAGTGTACTCGTAAGCATTCACAAATTATCTACTGTCTTAACAGCACTGGTATTCTGAAAAGAACAATCCCACTCAGGCAGTAGATATAGGCCAAGCACTGACAAAAAGATTGAGGTCCAAGTTTTGCCTATAGTTGCATTCAGGTGATTTAAATGGAAATGCCAGGGTTATAATGAAGGCATAATTCACTCTTGAGGGTGTGGGTCTCTTATTAAACTCATAGTACAAAAATGAAGGAACTTCTGCAGAAGAACAACACTGCAGCGCAAGAACAAAGCTGCAGGTTTAAAAAAAACCTGAGACCAAAAATAGAAACTCTTCTCCTTTTGTGAATCTACATGCTCTTTACTTACAATGAGAAATGAGGCCAGCATCCAAACTAGTGCAGTCTGTGCTCAACTAAATGCATCACATTGAAAAATTCCCCCTCCCCCCAAATCAACAAAGCAAAATACACAAGGATAATAATGTGGTCTACATAGACAGATTTCATTCTGTGGTTATATGCTTGAAAAATTACCTGCATTAAAATGTGGATCATCTTCCATTGATGTTACTGCTTCTTCAACTGCATCTAATGCATTGCCTCCTTGTTTAAGGATACTGTAACCTTTCAGTGCTGCTCTGGTAACACCTGAACGAGCTCCTTCTTCCCGATCTTTAAAGATGCGGCCAGCTCCACCATGAACAACAACAACAGGCTTCATGCTGCCAAATCCTTGCCAATTACAGAGTAGAAACAGGTTATTCAGAACTTATTTTCCTAAAACACACGCAAGGCAAGAAGCTTTAGCGATTGCTCCCTTCCTCATGTACCAGCCCCACAGATGAAATCCACTACGGTGCTCAGTGTGATATTCACTAGGTTTATTTTTCAGGAGACTGAACATTCTCAATACAGGCTTCCTGATTCTGTAATTCACCTCAAGTGCTGACAGGGCATAAGTATGTTGACCTTCATGGCATATTGCAAAGACCATCTATTTACTCAGCTTTTTCCTGAGGGATGGGTTGAGGAAGGAGGGTTTTTAAAGGTCCATTCTTACTGCCAATATAGTCAATGGAAGTTCTGCATATGACTTTAGTAGATGCAGGACCGACCCTTCATATCTCATGGGGAAAGAGAATTTGGCTTGAATAGTTATTTCATATGTATTTTCAATTATATTATTCATATAGCCTGAGATACTGTGATAGGCACAGATTTTATACTCTGAGAAAATAAATAAGAGCTTGACAAATGAGAAGTAGAATTATACTGAAGAAAGGCAAAAGAGAAAAACACCTCTCAGGAGAAACATCATCATACTTAAATACTTTTGTCTGTAAATTCTCTTTCTGCATTATGACTGTATATTTAGTAAGTAACTAGAGCCCAGAAACAGCAGCTACAAACTGATTGAATCATATGGTTAGGTGAAAAAGGAAAAAAAATGAGGTCATGAGAATTCTGCACCTGAAATGGTTTTGGTTTCAAGTTGCTCTTTTTATAGGCTGATGGCAGAATTTGGTCTTAAGATATATGCAGGTGACCATCATTAACTTCAGTGGGGGTTGTTATTTTTTTAAATGAATCCTAACTTTGACAAGCTTTTAAAAAAGTTTGCACACTATATATCTACATCTACAAGCTATTGCACTTGTCTCCCTCAACCTGTTTTAAGAAGTTTCACTTACATGGGGAGAAATAATTCTTCTATAACAAATTATGAGGAAATTAAAATTTGAGGCTTGTTCCTGCTAACCCTTCCTTCATGTCAGGTGAATAATCCTTATCATGGAATATCAGGGTTGGAAGGGACCTCAGGAGATCATTGAGTCCAGCCCCCTGCTTTCACTAGCAGGGCTGAGTACTGATTTTGCCCCAGATCCCTAAGTGGCCCCCTCAAGGATTGAACTCACAACCCGGCCAATGCTCAAATCACTGAGCTATCCTTCCCCCCCCCCGTTATCCTTCACTTTAATCAACATGTTTGCATAAGTGAGTTAAAGCTACTCACCTGACGTGTTAAGCAAGATCTGAACTTAGTTTAAAACTTAACTGATGCTTTTGCCTGGATTTTAAACCTTTGACCACTTGCAAGGTAAGTGCAAACTTTGTACTCTGTGAAACAAGATGCTAAAAGCTGATAATGAACAGTTTAATTTTTATCTTTGACTGTATAGAAAGGAACATTAATTGGTTTGCCTCTCTGTAAAGAATGAGAAATAAGGCATCTTGAGAAGCCAGCATCCAAACAAGTACATTTTTCACTCACCTAAACGTTTCACATTAAAAAATTTACACACACACCCCCAACTCTGGTGAGAACAAAGATTTCTTTGTCTTTATGGTCATTTCTCCTTTGCTTTTCCTCCATTTCCATCTTACTTCTAGGACTCATGAGGCATTTCACCACATGAAATTAGTATATCAGGACTCACTTATTATTAAGAAGATGACACATGCCAATGGGAGGAATAGACTTGGATATAATACATCTTTTCTCAGATAGGTGGTAAACTGAACCATGTGACATGGTAAATTACATTTATCATGCAATTGTTATAGTCCGGATTCTGCCTTCATCTTCTCCTGGGACTGCTTCAAACATTACAAGCCTCGGAACAGTCACCATTAAAAAAAAGGCCTGATGCCAAAAAACAAACCAACCCCATTTTATTCTTTACCTTCCCAAATGTTTACTCTGAGGTATATGACTGGCATTATTTAGTCCTGGACATTTGACCAGTTTAGAGGCTCAATCTTTATAAGCCACAGGGTTTTAGAAAGGGGGTTTTATACCATATTACCAGTGTTATTTACAATAGCACACTAAATGTGCTAGGCATTGTACACATACATAGGGAGGCACAGTCCCTACTGCAAAGGGGTTACAGTCTAAAAATGGGGCACACACTTACTTGATTATAGCTCTGAAAGGCACTATGGTATTCAACTTTTAAGCTGAGGTATTTAACAATCTAAATGCTGCCCTACATAAACAAACAATACTTTCCTCTTTGTCAGGGAGAGTCCCATAGTTCGAAGGGAGTCTGGCTTTACTAGAGGAGGGATACAAAATAGTATGGGTTTTAAAAAAAAATGCTCTAAAACCAGTTTCTGTTAAATACAGGACACAAAGATAATATAGATAGTGTCATGTGACAATTTTAATTGGCACTGTTTTAGGGTGACCTGCGTAACTCATTCATAACTTTGCAACTGGTAAGGAGTTTACCCATCCCCAACTCTTGCAAATCAAACCATTATACCCCCTAATCATGAACCCTCTCAACAGATTAGATTTGTGGTACTGACCACTACCAAGATTAAATAAAGGGGGAAAATACACCTCTTTTAGCATAAAATGATACAGCTTAGTGAAATAAAATTATTCTACTTAACTGCCAGGGGACAAGTTTGTCATGTACACATGGGAGAAAGTAGAAGGGAGATATGCAGCGTCAGCTGTGTCTTAACTCAGGAAGTTCCTTCAAGAGGAAATGTAGCCAAACTCCAAACCTGGAGACAATGGAACTTTCTGTGTCTGCGTCCTGTAAATAACTAACTGTTTAGTTTGCAAAATAACGCAAGGGGGGGGGGGCAAGTAGATGAACAATAAGGGGTCATAAGAGGGGTCATAACATGTAACTTGCTAATATGTATGGTAATAACAGCAAATTTTGGCCAATCATAGAGCGATAGATTATCATAGTCAACTGCATATAATGCTTTGGTGTAAGTGTTTTCTTTGTTCTTTCTGACTTATGAGCTCAAACCCAATTGCAATTGAAATAAATGGATCGCCCCTCCCGGGGCTCCTTGCTTGATTAGCTGTGTCCCTCTCTCCTTATTCCTCAGCTGGAACGGACAGGAATTTCTACCACATTAGAAATGCAGATTTGTTCCCCTGCTCTTTGGGAGAGGGAACGGATTTCAGAACTCAGTCTTCACACACTCCTCCTGGGGACGAAGGATTTTGCTACACGATTTTCAATTACAAGAGCTTAAATAAGCAACAGAGGGTCCTGTGGCACCTTTAAGACTAACAGAGGTATTGGAGCATAAGCTTTCGTGGGTGAATGCCCACTTCATCAGACGCTTGCGTGGGCATTCACCCACGAAAGCTTATGCTCCAATACCTCTGTTAGTCTTAAAGGTGCCACAGGACCCTCTGTTGCTTTTTACAGATTCAGACTAACACGGCTACCCCTCTGATACAAGAGCTTAAATGTCTCCCTCATTCACAATTCCCCACCAGCACCTGCAGACAAGGGACAGTTCCCAGAAATTCCTGAGAATCTCCCTGTGTTCTAAATCAGCACGAGCAGAAGAGGAAGCAGAAAAAGCAAGAAGCAGCTGCTGCTGCAGCAGGAGGAGGATGCATTCATTCACGCCGCTGCAGGCTGTTTGTTTTGTTACAGGGTAGCGTTACTCACAAGTGGTTGTTCTTGCAGGCTTCACTAATGAGTAGGAAATCTTAAGGGGGGACACAGGAACAAGAGCCACCGGTCTGCAAATGTTCAGTCTTACTTCCACATAAGATGGTTCTAGGTCAGGAGTCGCCAAACAGGGGCTGCCATTTGTCCAGCCCTCCAACCAATAGGGAAGAAGCGAACAGCTGAGTAGGCAAGGGGCGGGGCCGCCGGCAGTAGCTCCCACGGCGCAGCAGCACAGCTGAGCTGGGCAGAGGGGTGAGTGCCTCTGGGAGCCAGTGTCCCCCCCAAAGAGGAGCAAACTTAGGGGAGAGTCGTTGCTTCAGCAAAGCAGGTACAAGGAGAAGCAAATAGGCAGGCTGCAGGTAGGGGGAGAGGCTTCCAGCAGCAGCTCGGGTGTGTGTGTGGGGGTAGTTCAGCAGAGCTGTGCAGAGGGATAAGTGCCTCTGGGAGCCAGTGTCGTCCCCCCCCCCCCCCCCCCGAAGGGGAGCCAACTTAGGGGAGAGTCATTGCTGCAGCCGAGTAGGCATGGACACCTGCCTTAGGAGTAAAAATACAAGCCAGATGCTTAATTACATCTCCAATAAATGGAGTAAAGAAGATGGAAATTAACAATTTCATAATGGTTAACTTTTAACTACATCACTAATAGAACCAAACAGTATTTGTATGATACAAATGTGTGAGTTTTTAGAAATAAAATAAATATGAAATGATTTTTAATGTATTGACAAATATTTTGTGTGATTTCACAGTACCTGCATCGATTAACTTTTACACCTGATTTAGAATTTAACGCAACACTGATGCAGTAGAATAGTGCTGTTTTTTAATGATTTTGCATATATTTGCATATATTTAATTTCTTTCACAGTCGCTTCGGCTCGCGAAGCCCCTTCAAAAATCTAATACGGCCCTAGTCTCACAAAGTTTGGAGACCCCTGCTCTAGTGTAAAAGGCTGGTGATCACATGAGCAGCAATTATCAGGCATGTTTGCCCTTAGTAAAAAGACCTACTGTTTTCCTGTCTTTGAATGGATTTGAAGGAAGAAGGCTCCCTTAGTTAAAATGGCTACCAGTTCCCTAGGTCCTCTCAGAAGCGAGGCTAGTAAAGGCTGCCATCTATTACTGTCAATAGAGTTGAAGCTAAGGTGCCCTCTGTTAAGATTTCTACCCTCCTTATCCTCTAGTAGTGGTTTTTTCCTGCCTTTTGTTCTCCCTGAGGCTCTTGTGAGGCGAGGAGGGGAAAGGGCTCAGGAAGCTGAAGGGAGGTGCAGGCTAGAAAAGGAAAACGGAGAGCTGCCCCCTTCTTTCTGCTGGAGTGGAACTGCCGAATCCCCCACCTGGCTAGCAGCCTTTGGCTGTGTGAGTTGCAGGTTAGATTTGCAATGGAAAATGCACACACATTTGTGGAGAGGCTTCTAACTAAAGATCAACAGCATAAAGCACACAGAAACCTAATCCGATGTGGTGGTTTTAATCTCATGAGTCTAAATTAGTGAAGCTGAATGCAGGTGAAATTGAACAAGTGGAACTTTATTAAACCCTGTGGACTGCTCTATCCACCTGGCTGAGTTGCTTCCTGCCTAACTCCCTATGTTCCCCTCACCAGGGCTGTGCCATCTATAAGAGTCTCTCCGGGAACATGGTCCCTCTGGCAATGATACAGCATTCAGGTTTTTGAATTCATGAGCCCATGTGCTGCCCCCCTTCTGTAGGTTATGCTGTTGGCTCGTTAGGCACAAGAGCCCAGATCCTCGTAGGTATTTAGATACAGATAAATATCTTCAAGGGTCTGGGCCAAAGCCTATGGTCACTTCTGTGCCCCCGGGCTCCAGATGGACATTGGAAGTGATTTCATTATTACAAACACACATGTTTACAAGCAACTCTGCCCAAGGAAGATCATCATAGGTAAACACCCCAAACCAGATCTTTCATTCGTGCTTATAATGTTCCTGTTTCGTCACAGCAGCAGCCTAGACTGCAGGCAATATTATGCAATGCTGTAGCCTCAGGAGCACTGTGGACAAAGACATGCACCTATTCAGTGAGCCAATCCCAGGCAAAGCCACCTGTATGAACCACTCCCTTACTTGGCTAATGGCACCAGCGTCTTATACACTGAGAACTAGAGTTCGTCAGGAATTTTCTATCAATTATTTTGTTATACCAATAGAATAAAAACCAGCAGGATCTTATTAAGAGGGATAAGGCAAAGATGCCACATTTATTGTAAATATAATGATAAAGCAAAAGATAAAAGTAAACAATGTTGTTTGACTACTTCTTTTTTATATATACACACACACATATATCTATATATAGAGAGAGAGAGAGATTTATTTACACAATCATTTATTCAAGTTCTGTATAGGTTTTATAGTTACCAGCCTAGAAGTTGGTCATGCCAAGTTACTGGCCAGGTATCTTGGTCATGAGGATGGAGCCGAGTTTGTGTCAGGTGCACCTGATGCTCCTGGAGGTTGGCAGCAGAACCAGAGACTCAAAGTCATTAGTGTTTAGAGTCCATTTTCATAGGAATTAATTCCTATGTTAGTTTATGGGAACAGTTTTATTCTGCTGTTGCTGACTTAATCAGCAGATGGCACATTCCTGTCCAAAGTGGCACATTTCTGGTGGCTCCGCACTGTCCAAAGTTTGTGTTTTTCATTTTTCCAGGTGATGGGGTGGATCCCAGTTTACCCTCAGGGGGTTGTCTGGTGGTCCTACTTGACACATTCTTCGGCCGATGGATACTCCCTTTATAGGCTGGCACCTTTCTAACCATTTATTTACATCAAGCATTTATCAACATACATTCCATATTTTAACGATATTTTAATTTACTGTCTCCACCACTTTCGGGGTGTGTGCTAATTTATTTGAGACTCCCGGCCCTTTAATCACAGAGGGTGGGGGTCTGTCCTAGGAGCCGTTGAATGAAGTGAAAGTCACTTAACAGCTTATAGTGTTTGTTTACATTGTATCAATTACTTTAAGAACAAAGTCAATTAACTTCTTTGTAAGTTTTACATAGTAATAAAGTATCTTTCACAGGATAGATATAATCAATGGTTTCTACAGACAGTAGCTTACAAGTTTTAACAGAAGACCCAAGAGATTTTTGTACTCTCTTGGTGAAACTGTTGGATTTTAAAGTGTGGGGGACAAATTATGAGGGGGTCACTGTCACTTGGGGGAATCACTGTTAGTACCTTCTTTTATATCCCTACAATTTTGCATAAGAAAATGCAGTTTTGGGAAAATCAAAATTGACTGGTATGATATGCCAGGATTATGCCTGTCCCATTGCAGAGAAAGGTCAGAAAGTGTCATGAATTTATGGACTGTTCTGCAAAATTCAGGGCAGATGCCTCCCCTAGATGTGAGCATGTGGTGAGCTATTCACATTTTTTAAAAGAAATAAATAAAATTGTTTTGTTTTGAGAAAATGAGGATTTCCAAGGGTATGATGGTGTCACAGAACTCCTACTTTGTCCCATGATGGGACCTCTACTTTAGTTAACTCTTTGTGCCACAGGTGATTTACTCAATTTTAAATATCAGGTGTTGCCACTGCCTCAGTGTCCTCGTCACTCACTACATAATGTGATTTATCCCTCTGGCTACATTCAGAAAACTCCACCCCTTCCTGAGAAAACAAAAGTTCAGAATAAACAATTATTTGAATCAGGCATTCTTTTCTTTCTCTGTGCCACAGGTCTCTTTTGAGGTGCTGAGCAAGTTTGACAGCATTCATGAGCAATCTTAGACTGTTCATTTCAGTAATACTGTAGTTTAAATTTAAGCTTGATTCAAGGGCAGATATGATTGTGACTTGTAGAGAGACTTATAAGAAGTTGAAGCAGCTCAGAAGACAGTCAAGTTGCCTGGATCAATTCAAATCCTATATTGATTACAAAGGCAAGGAGTGGGTGTTTGTCAATAATATGTTCACGGCATATAAACAGAGATGTTAGCGTATGTTATGTTTTATCTTTCTGGAAGGTTGCAATGTAATACTTCTTAAAACCCAGAACCTTAATGCACAAGAACCAAAAACCAAGAGGGAGAGGAAGCAGGCAGCTCTCTTAATCAGAAAGGAACAACTTGCCCCACCTTGCTCTAGGCTGATTCTTTGCAGACTGAAAGCCCAAAGACACAGATAGTACTTTTTCCTATGGAGCCCACTAACAGGTCCAGGAAGCCCCTGAAGAATTTAAAGTGATAGTTTATAATTTTAAACACAGAGTTCACTAAAACACAATCAATTTTTATTAATGGTCTTCAGGTGAGTGCTCCTTCACTGAAAGGAACTCCGGCAAACCAAGAAGGAAAATAAAACAAAAACATTCTCTTTAGGTTTTATTCTAAATCCAGTCCCAGAGTTCCCCCTCATCAGGGTCAAGGCAAACAAAGACTAGGTCTACACTGCACACCACTGGCGGAGGCATGTACGGTATGTGTAGCTACATGCCACAGTGGAAAGCAAGCTGTGTCCACAGTGTGTTGTGTAGCTACGTACATCTGTGAAAGATTCTGGCAGGGAGAAAGGCTCCAGCAGTGGGGAGGCAGCAGGACACTACAGTTCTAAAGTAGCAGTGTCGATGGGGAAGGTACCACGTGGGTATGTAAAGAGCCATGTAGGGTACATACCCTAAGGCTTCAGCTGTGTCTTTACTCACCTAAGCAGTGCCTCACCACCTGCACTGCTACTTATACCCATGTAGCTGTACCCAAAGTCCCAAATTCGCAGTTGTGGCCAACAAGCAGCCATCTTCCTTCATCATAGCTGTTTGGCTTACTAGCCCCTGAGCTGCTGCTTCTCCCTCTTTTATTTGAGGAGTCCATCTGCTTCTGGGCACAAAATGGGCATGACAAACAGTGGGGAGCAGACAGACAAGGATTTACAGCAATATACAATTGCTTGGGTTAGGTATGTTTTAATCCTCAATGTTATAATAGTTTAAAATGAATTAAAATGTAGTTAAATTGAAAGAGAAACTACATTGGATGGTTTTCCATTGTCACTGACAGGGATTTAAATTGTATATGCAAATCATGTAAGTGCACTATTCACTTTTTTTT